GCTGAGGGACTTGTGCAAGGTCACCATGCTGTTCATCAGCACTCTGGGATGAGCTCAGAGGCCAGTATTCTCCCCCATCACTCCAGTTTCCAATCTGCAGGACCCTCTGTGTTTGCTCTGCTCTTCTGTCTTTTAACCACATTACTGTATTTAAAACATAACCCAGAATCAATGCACTGTATTAAAAAAAAAAAACCCTTGTCAACTCAACAGTTGTACCTGGCCTCTCAGTCTAGGCTCGTGGCCAGAGCGTGCGGAAAGCTTTGTCCGCGGGGACCACTCCAAGCGTGGGGCCGGCGGAATGCTAGGACACCGCAGCCCGCCGACACATGGGGCCGCCTGCTTGTGATTACCAGCAAGCTCGGGGGAACTGATGGGTTTGGGAAACATTTTTGTAGGATTTTGCTAACAGAAAAAAGAAAAAGAAAAAAAAGCAGAGAGAGAGAATCTGGTCTATGTTAACTGACAGATTACTCCAGAAGAGTATCCAGAAAAATATGATATATAAATTAGCCAATTCAAGAATGTCTGAAACGTGGAACTGTGCGGAGATGCTCATGTGCGTTGAGGAAAGGGATGATACCGCATTCAAGCCAAACTCCACTGAGTCCCAGTTTCCTCGCTGCATCCATTCCCACCCGGGTTCTCATCTGCTTTTCTGACGTAGGTTTCCTAAGCCGAGTTGCGGCTGGGGCTGGGGTCCACATGATCTTGACTCCTGTCAGCCTGGGTTAAACTGACGCACACGTGTGCCCTTCGCCACCTCACCTCGCGCGTGACGACGTGGTGACGGAGGCGTCCAGAGGCCCCCACCGCTGTGCAGCGGGAGAACTCCGAGCGAAATAAGAAAGGGCTGAGGTGGCCTGGGGCCGAGACTCACAGATGCTCCCCAGGGAGGACATGGGCATCAACACGCTCAGCAAAGGGGGGACGCGGCCTCCGGGAAAGGGCGAGGACGCAAGGCGCATGCTCGGAGGACTCCCACTGCGCCCAGCCAGGCAGGGCTCACGTGGCATCGGGAGCGCGGGTCCTGGCGCCTCACCCAAGGCGCGCCTTGGTCGTGCCACAGCTCTCCAGACAGCTTAGCTGGGGATGCAGCCCAGCTGTTCCTGGCTGTGAGAGCCGGGCACAGAGCGGGAAAATGTGGGAGGCCCGTGAGGATGTCAGCTGGCCACTCCCCACAAGGATGTGTCTGTAAACTTGTCCATTTTTTTTCTGTCTCTTGGCCCATGGTTGTAGGTACCTGGATTTTAGGACCTGAGGCTATTTAACCTTCACCACTGAAGCATAAGGGATGCCTTGGTGCCCCACCCTTAACCACTGGCACTCACAGATCTGTGACTTGGTTTCTTAGATTGTAGCCACCAAGGACCCTGTGGAGGGTCCGCTCCAGCCACATGAAATGGCCTGCTCTGTGTCAGGAAATTTGCTGGCCCAGGGGCAGCCCACACCCAGTGACATATGGGCGAACAGTCCAGATGGAACAACTCCAAGCAGTGTCCTACAAAGAGTACCAGCAGGACTGAGCACCAACTGGCCTCGGGGGTAAACAGCTCTCTAGCCCACACTGTGCTGGCAGCTCCCTATCTTCCCTCTCTCCTTCCCGACACCCTCCAGTGCTCCTGGGGATCATTGCCCAAGTACACGACTCACTCAAGTATACTTGGTTTAGGGTCTGCTTCTGTGGGGACTGGACATAAACTACTAGGTGTCTGTTATCCCTTGTTGAACACTGATGCACCAAGCATTGTGCTTGACACCAGGACCGCAGAGAAGGAAGGACAGACGGTGGAATAAGACACACTCAGTCCCAGTCCTCTGTCTGCACTTGTGTGTTTTTCAGAGGGGACAAAGGCAGACACAACATATATCAAATGCAAAAAAGGGAAACGTTCCATGAAAGGAGAAGAGAAAAGAATAGTTTGGAAATTCAGGGAGGAAACACGGACATGGCTGAGGGCTGAGAAGGGGGTTAGGAAGGCGCAGGGGGAGGCAGATTAGAGGTCAACCTGAAGGCAGAGGAGTTACTTGGAAGGTAGACACGAGGGAAGAATGTCCCCTCTGAGGAGAGCTGACCACATGATGGCACCACTCTGTCCCCACTGGCAGATCCTGGTGAGGGTCGAACCCTCAGGTGGGGCAGTCAGCTATGGGACGGGTGCTTCGGGGGCTCAGCTCAGGAGCAAATGGGCTTCACTGGACAATTCTAGTACTTTGACATCTGAGTCTTGTCAATTTTGGAGGGGCTGTCCCTCCCCCAGTCAGCCAGTTCCTAGAGATAGAAAACAATTTGTCCACAAGCACACTTCTCAAACACAACCACCTCCTTTTTGGGGCTCTCCCTCTCTGGGCCACTATCTGCCTTCCCTACCACCCCAGGGCCAGGTACCGGACAACTGGGGCCAGCTCCTATGCCCTCAAGCCTGCTGAAGTCATTCAAACCAGCCAATCCTGGTTTACCCTGCCCCACCCTCTCCTTTTCATAGAAACCACAATGAAGGCTCTTGCTCACATTTCTTCCCTCTCCCTGCACCTGCTGACCAACCTGCTGCTTCCCCGTGTGGCCCCTCATATCATGGCCTGCCCCTTCCCTTGGGCTCTGTGAGTAACAAACTGACTTCTCAGCGGCACTCATCTCCTGGTCTGTTGGCTTTACCGTAACTCCCAATTTTCTATTAATACACCACATTTTAAAACAGAGATTCACAGAGCAAAGTCAGTGAGAAGAAGCCATGAGGTAGAGAGAGAAAGAAGGTACTGGGAAGACAGTGGGGTGGACAGTGTGTGGAGAAACAGAGAGGCAGAATGGCTGGGCCACAGTCCTGCAGCGTGTTAGGGCAGGGAGTGTGGACACAGGGAGGCTCCAGGATGGTCTGGTCACAAGTGCAGGGTTGTACCTGGAATGCTGTCCCAGTTCCTGGACAATTTTCCTAGTTCCTTGATGCTGGGCTCAGGGTGGCTGGGTCTGCGTGCTGTCCTCCTTCAGTCCCCCTCTGTCCCGGCACACAGCCTCCTACAGCCGTGCAGCCTGAGTGTGTCTCTTTACTCCTGTAAGCACAAAGAGCAGCCTAAGCAGAAGGAACACTTGAAAAAGCTACAGAGAGTCACTGAATCACGGAATTTGGGCACTGGTAGGGACACTGAAAATATTCTAACCTAGGGACACAAAAAGTGCTGACCATTAAGGAAAAGACTGACAGACTGGTCTGCATTAAGAACACATGTTCAGCAAGATACTGTTAAGATAGGTAACAGGCAAGCCACAGAGTGGGAGGTACACTTACAGTACATCTGTGACCAAAATAACGTGAATCCAGAATATATAAATGATTCCCACAAGTCAATAGGGAAGACAGGCTATCCAAATTTTTTAAATGTGCTCAAGAATTGAGTAGGCACATCATAGGAGAATGTCAAAATGGTAAACAAGCATATGAAAAGATGCTTGATACGTCATAATGGCAACAGCTGGCAAGGATGTAGAGGAACTGGAACGCAGACTGCTGATGGGAACGTAAATGGATTGATGCAGCCACTCTGGAAGATGGTCTGGCGACATCAGCTAACGCTGAACAAATGCATACACTGTAACCCAAATATAATTCTTTAGATCTCTCCAAAAGCAATTAAGACTACATCTCCAATATAAATTTCTATACATTATATAAATAAATAAAATTTGCCACAAATACACATAAATTACTATTGGAGAGGCTAGGCAAAGAATTCATAATATCTAGAGTTTGGGTGAGTAAGAAAATGGCTTTTGAAAGATTTCAGAACTCACAATGAAAAATTCATGCATGAATAGCTGAAATTCAAAAAAATTTCCCCCCAAATGTGATAGAAAAGATAATTATAAATAGTGAGAGTGTGAAAGAGAACCTCTCAACCTTGGGAAGGCCTGAACACAGAAACATGGCAGCCACCGCCATCTTCTTCCTAACTCACTGTAATCACATGCTATTGGCGGGAAGGGCCTCCGCCTCATTTCACTGTAGCTTGTGTATGACAGGAGAAATGGAGTCCCTGTTTGTGGAGAAAAAGGAACAAAGAGAGGGAGGAGGGGGAGAGAGAAAAGGTATTGAAGGGCCATTTATTATAATTTTCTCCCAGCTCAACTGAGATAATAATTGACGTATAACATTATGTAAGTCTAAGATGTACATTGTTTTGGTTTGATACACTTACATGCTGCAAAATAATTACCACCATAACCTTAGCCAACGCCTCTATCCTATCACATAATTACTGGGTTTTTTTGTGTGTGTGTGGTGAGAGGGGCCATTTCTTGAACACCTGCTCTATGGAAGACACTATAAAGTTGTACAAAGACAAAGTTGTACAAAGATAAGAACAAACACACGTACACACTCAGCTCTGTCCTCAGCACAACATATATTACCTCACTTTAATCCTCACCTTAAGATGTAAGTACTAGGATCATCATTGCCATTTTCCGGATGCAGTAACTGAGGCAGTGGGAGTTGAAGTAACTTGTCCGAGGTCACACAGCTAGAAAGTGGCAAGGCTGGGTTTGGCCTTTGTCGTTTGTGCTGCAGAATTTTTGTGCTCTGGGGAGCCGGTGATCAACCTCAGGGCATGTGACCACTCAGTGAGTCGTTCCATTGAAAGGTCAGCTGAAAAATAGGAGACCAAAAAAATCTATGTTGCTACTTGGCAAGAAAATTACATAAAAGGAAGCCTTCAGATTAGTGTTGCACTCTGCCTTTCCATGGTAAGCCTACCCCGATTATCTTTGATCGGTGCCCTCATTACCATGTCAAATGAAGAGCTGACATGGCTCTCCTCTGCTCCCACTTTGCCACTTTGCCCCGAGCCCTGCTCCCTCATTCAGCCAGGTTAAACCATCTTCCTTAATTACCAGTAGGAGCTCAGTCTTGCGCAAGGAGAGCTCGGGTGATAAATTAAAACAAAGGACCTTTGTTTGGTGCATGCATTTGGCCAACACCGTCACCTTCATTATGCAATGATGTCACCGGCGGCCAAGGGGAAGTCCTAAGGGCTTAATCACTGGGCGGCCTGGGGGGCCATGAGGAATGAGGAGTGGGCATTGTTGCCTGGGTGCGCTTCCTCTCCTGGGCAGAACCAGCTGCACATGGGCGCAGGGGCAGGGAGTCAGCATGGCCCTCTTTCCACTAGGGAAGCAGCATAGCGCAGTGGACCAGACCATGGCCTCGGGGATCGGATAGGTTTGTGTTTGAATCCTGGCCTGAGTGTGGCCTGTGGGACCTTGGAGAAGTTTTCTAGTTGCTCAAGTCAGTGAGGTCATAATATCTAACTCGTAGGATTGTGAGAAGCAAATGACAGTGTGTTTCAGTGATGGTTGCTGTTCCTGGATGAAATAAGACTCAGGATTTGTGTCACAAGAGAAGAGAAACCCCTTGAGCATTAAGAATCTCTCCATACTTCCCAAGAAGAGCGGGACCAGGACCTTTTGTTACTTGCCCAGCTGTGTCGCCATAGACATGGGTCTGTGATCCAGCTGTGTGATCTTGAACAAGTTGCTTCACATTTCTGAGCCTCAGTTCCCCCTTTTGTCAAATGGACCTCAGATTTGTGGGGCTCAACTGAGAGCAGGGATGTCAGAGAACCCCACCCCATACCCTCATTTGTTTCTAAATTGGGATGGGAAACAAAATGTTCGGAAAGCACAGGGAATGAGGCCCATGGTTCCTTCTCAACCATGAGAAAGTTTTATTATAACCAGCTTCCAGGCAGAGGCTTTCTAACCGCTCTGCAGAGCCCCTCTTCTGTCACAGAGAAGTGCCGTTTTCAGACTCTTTCTGTTTCCTCTTGCATCAGCTGCTGGGGCTGAATACTCACGTTGGCCTCTGACCATCTCCTCTCTGCCTCTGGTTGGCCTCACAGGCCACAAGCAGGAGGCAGGAATCTGAAGATGAATCTCGACTTCTTCCTTCCTCAGCAACTTCCACCGGTGCCCGCACACCACTTGTTTCCACTGTGCTCCTGGTCACCCACAGGGTAAATCCCCAACCTGCCGTCTTCTCCGCATCCTTACCGCCCCTCCTCCAAGTTTTCAGTCTTTCCTCTGCTTGGGGGATGAGTGAGAACTCCCACAGCACACATATGAAATGCAGCCGGGCCCTGTGCTTTTAGAACTCCCACTGGTTTGAGACTTTTGACATACACACACACATTTATGCACTCTCACACAAATACATTCACGCACAAACATAAACACACACACACCCCCCCTCTGCCATCCACAGAGGAGACAGGATTTCTCATGCATGGCACACCCCCAGTGGACAAGAGCCCCTAGCCTCTCGTGCAAGTTTCTGGAGATGATTTCAGATGAGTTTTGAAGAGTGAGGGAAAAGGCTTGGCAGAAGAGCAGCTGTGAGCCATGGTACAGTGATGACTTGGCAGCTTCATTGGATCCAGAGTCAGCCCCAGTGGTGTGTGCTTCTGGGAAATATCTCTGCCACGAAGACAAGGCCACCCATGCATGCTGCTGCCTTCTTGCCTAGCCATGTCCTATTTATAGCATCAGTCCTGGGAAACAAATGTTTCAACCATACATCTGCAAGCGCTTCTGGCATGTAAGCGCGTTCCTTCTTGGTCTCAGTGTGCACCACCCGAAGTTCCCTACTAGGGTACTGCTGAGGGTGTCAAGGGGAATGCTCTGATGCACTCTCACCTGCAAAAGAAACTGCTGAACCAGCAGCAGAATCCAGGTGGGTAGAAAGTCAAGGCCACTTGTGGCACTCAAAGAAAGGGTATGGCTCCTGTCCCCTCCCAGGCCACCAGAAGACCTGCTAGGCCGTGCTGGCTGGTGGAGCCTCGTTTCCCACTGGAACTGAAGCGGATGGGATGAGACAGAACATGCCCATGGTGGTGCCAGTTCTTCTTACTCAAGAGCCACACGCTTTATCATGTCAAATGATGAAAATATTTTGTTTCCTACCTAGCTTGGGGATTACATGGATGCCAAAGCAAGCCGCCTGCTAGGAATGTGAGCAGACTGGCTGAGAACAGAGCCCTCAAGATCCAACAAGCTGCTGCATTTTGAATACAGGGAGTCACCTCCCACAGTCTCTTCCTCGGGGGACTTCGCAGGGGCTGCCACCTCCCCTCTTGTGAATTGGATACTGAAAGTCGATGTTTCCTAGAGCTCTGTCTCTGACATGAATGCGTCAGTCTTTTTAGAAGATCTCTCTAAATCGTGAATTTGTTTCTCCAGATAAAAAGATCAGGAGAAAAACAAGATGCTCCCCGTTCTGTCCCACCCCTCCCCCATCCCCACTGCGCTAACCCAGCCCTGCCCCTTCGGCCTCCGGCCTCTGCTCACGCTGCTCCCCTCCCTAGAGCAGCCTCCTTCCCTCTCCATTTCCCTTTGAGGTGTGAGACAGGAGCCATCATTCTCAGGAAGCTTCCTTCAACCATCCCAGGAAAAATAAAATGATCCTCCTTTGAGTTTCTTGTGGCTGCCGTGACAAATTACCACGCGCCGGATAGAAAGTTAAACAATAGAAAGTAATTTTTCTCACAGTTCTGGAAGGCAGAAGTCTGCAATTAAGGTGTGGCTAGGGCTGTGCTCCCTACAGAGGATCGAGGGGAGAAACTGATTCTTGCCTCTCCTGGCTTCTGGTGGCTCCAGCCATTCCTTGGCTTGTGACTCCATCATCAGATCAGTCTCTGCCTCCCTCTTCCCAACACCTTCTCTGTGTGTCTCAACTCTCTCTCTGCTTCTTTCTTATAAGGACTCATGTCATTGAATTTAGGGCCCACCTGGGTCACCCTCGATGATGCCATCCCAATGCCCTTAATTACATCTGCAAAGACCCCTTTTCAACTAAGGTCACATTCATAGGTCCCAGGGAGTTGGACACAGATAGATCTTACTAGTGACCACCCTTCAATCCATGTGCCCACTAACCAACCAAAATCCCACTACACCACCCTACTGCATATTGTAGCCCCCCCAAATATATCTATCACTGTGTTATAGCACTGAGTCATAAATGCCTCCCCCCACCCCCATCGTCAGGTCTTTGAACTACATAAACTCTACCGGCTTTTGCTTTCAGATTACAAAATCACGATGTGCTTGCTACAGTAGACCAGTAACAAAGAGAGGGTCTCCCATGGTCACCCTGATCCAGCTGCACAGTCATGCCCCTGCTCCTTCAAGGTGGCCAGGGTTGGCAGTTTGGTTTGTGTTCCCCCCTCCATGTTTTTAACATGCAAACTGTGTATTTTATATATGTTTATATATATTCTATACAAACAGGCAAAATGTTTATTTATACATACCTACCCATACACATCCACTAGGGCCTTTCTTCTCCCTTTCAAAAAATTTTTGTAAACCTCTTTCAGTACTTGAGATTATATCATGGACTTCCCTCTCAGAGAGAGAACATAACCTTTTCATAGTTGCATAATATTCCACTACTTGGATGCACCATGGTTTAATTACTCAGTCCTGTACAGATAGATATCAGATTGTTTATCTGTATTTTACCTCTAAAAATACATAGACTTTCTCTTATTAATATAGTTGGTACATTTCTGATGATGATTTTCTTTTTTACATTTAAGGCTTTAGAACATCTAAACCAGTGGTTCTCAACCAGGAGCAGTTTCCTCCCCCTGCAACCCCATGACAACATCTGGACACATTTTTGTTTGTCACAACTGGGGAGAGGAGGAGGCAGCTGGCATCTGGTGGGTAGAGGGCAAAGATGCTGCCAAACATCCTACAATTAATTCACGGGTCAGCTCCCCATGACAGAGAATTACCCAGTCCCAAATGCCAGTAGTGCCAGGGTGGAGAATCTCTGCTTCAAATGCAGTTTTGTAAGCAGGGTGAGGCATAGGTCTGTCTTTGTTTCATTCATAGCAATTGTTAATTATGTCCATATTCACTATTTAGTAATCATTCCTTTCCCACTGAAATAAAATGTTATTTGATGCCATATTTAGTTCACAAATATCTTTATTTCTCAACTCTGCTTTCAGTGCCTCTGATCTTTCCACTGAACTGTTTTTCTATTCTTGTGCCAATGTTATACTATTTTGCTTAACCTGAGTCATCTTTTATTACAATGGGCAAATGTCTACTAGGTATAAACTCCTTATTCTTACAGCTCTACAACTATCAAATTAAATCTGCTTTACAAATGAAATAGAAATAAAATTACAAAGCCAGTACACTTCAAATTAACACAAATTAACACTGTGTTGCACTAATAAAGCTGCCGATCAAAAGTGAACAGGGTATTCAGTCTTACGGGGCAGGTCCTCTGGAGTTGGGTGTGCCAGGAATATTTGTCATATGAAGGGATAAGCTGGGAGTTTGAAATTTGCAGATATTAATGTATCTAAAATAGATAAACAAGTTCAAGCTGCAGTACTGTGCTGTACACCAGAAATTGACACAGGATTGTAAACTGGCTATACTTCAATCCATCCATCAATCAATCAATTTATTTTTGAAAAGACCTTATGCTTTCTTGTTGTTCGAACTGATGTCAACTATTGTTGTCACTGAGCCTCACTGGTATTGGGCATTCAACACGAACACACCGTCTATGCTTTAAATCTGCCTCTATTCTTATTAGCACAGGACTGTTAAATCAGTGACACCGAT